ATGCGAGTTAGAACGAGGCAGAGCAAGAGAGAGAGAGAGAGAGGAAGAGAGCGAGGAGGAGGAATATCGCGTATTGATCGCGTACCGGGGGTTGTTTTCTCTCTCTCTCTTGTCGGTGCGCGCGCGGCGCTGCTGCTCTCTCCTGTGCTGCACACGAGGGTAAAGCGCGCACTCGGCTGCCACTGCCGCCGCCGCCGCCGCGCCACAGCTTTCTAGCTCGAGCGGTGCAGCTTCTTGCTGCGCTTGCCGCCTCGCTGTATCAGTCGCAGCACCATATGCAACACGGGAGGCGCGAGCGATACGCGGTCCAATGCAGCGTTTTCAAAGACCATTATTATACCGTCGCTAACTCGAGTCCTTCGCGATGATGCCTCGTTTGGTCAACAAAATTATTGCTTTTTCAATTCGATCGATTTGAAATTGAGGAAATGAAAAGAAAACACGGGATGTTTTCGAGAAATAAAACGACCAAAGTAGGCTTAGCAAAAATTACATTAGCAAACGAGAGTTTCTGATATACAAACGAGATTTTCAACGCGGCTATCTTTTAGATAAAGCAGATTGTCCGCGTTGGCATCGACTGCAAAAAAGCAATGATATCGTTGGATTTTTGTCTCGTGTATCGAGCAGTCGGTATATACCCGTGTATAATATTGCTCGCGAGGCAGCTGAATCAGAGAAGCGCAGCTAGCGAGTCGAATGTAAAATGAGCGAAGAGCTTCTCGAGCGGCGAAATCGAAGAGCGTTTCGATGAGAGAGGGAGAGACACGGATGAAAACTGATGGCTGAAGAACAAAACGCCTAAAGGAGCGCGCACGAATACTGCGAGCAAAAAAAAGCTTCGTCGCAAAAAGGGAGAAGAAAAGCGCGGCCAGATTCAAAGCTCAAAAGAAATGACGAATTCGAGCGTAACGTGCGCGAGCGACGGTTGATACAACTTTTCACTGTATCGAGCGACAAAGTGATCGCATCCCACGCGTGCCACACGTGGCTGCACTTGCTCGACATTTTTTTTTCAATAATAACGAACAATTTCAATTTTAACGAACGCAAGCGACGATATTTCGAAACGTATTCTTGCATCCCGTAGATGCGCACGCTAGTGAAGAAAATCCAACGATGAAGACGACCATATATACATTCGTTGGATTGCTAGACGACAAGCCTCGAAGCAAATACAAAACATTTCGCTCGAAGCTATACTTACATATGTGCACGCATTTAAAATATTTGCTTTCTAAAAAGATAATGTCTATCTAGTCTCGGTATGCAAGAACCGTTGCGACCAAGTACTGCGTACTACCATGCGTCATGGATACATACACGCGAAGCAGCAGCAGCGGCGGCAACGGCGGCGGCTCTCCGCCAGATAAATCCTTGCCCCCGTACATATATTCAACACTCGCCTTTTACCGATCGCAATTCCTATCTATTTATAATAAAACCTTCGGTCCGTTCGATCGCTCCGCCCGAGACGCAGTTGTTCGGCCGAAAGCTACGATCAACGACGCTCCGATGGCCATAAAGTAACCTCCTACACGCCTAGCTCTTTTGTCGACCGCGAGAAGACGTGTGTATTTTTCATGTAAAAATTACTCCCGTTAGCGTTTTCAGTGTCAAGCATTAAATGCGTATACGCTATATCTAGCCGGGGACAATTTTGATAAAAAGCTTAGGCTCGACCAAGTCAAGCTCCGAACATAAACACACACGCGCGAGATTAAAGTAAAATAGAGTCGCTTTCTTTCCATTCTCTTGTTTCGATTAACAAAAGAGGGACCGTTTTGAGTCTGCCGTCTATACAGCTCAGCCAAGTCCAGGTTTCTATAAAAGGAGCGAAGAACTGGACGTCGATGCATATAGCATGCTATAGCAGCAGCAGCAGCAGCGGCGGCGGCGGCGGCAGCCTACGCTCAAGCCCATGTAAATGCTAGGCATCAAAGCAATACAAAGGACGAAAGTCGTGTTTGTATGTATATGCAGATAGAAAAGGAACACTCACATGTACATTGTACACAGTGGTATAGGATAGGGTACGTATATACTTATAGATGTAATGAAGAGGTCGGCGATCGGGCCACGCTCAGCTGATGTGCAGCCGCAGCGCAGGCGCTCTCGTGTCCCACACACCCGCGAGAAGAACTCGAGAGGATTCTGCTCTCTCTTTCTCTTTGCTGCGGTGCTATGCTGCTGCTGCTGCTGCCGCCGCCGCCGCCGCCGCGTACCATACATGCCGTGTGCGACGATGACGGTCGCGGCGGCGGAAAGTGCACCGCATATATAGACGCTGCTGGGCGCAGGTGCTTTTCCTCGTTGTCGCCGTGCACATATGTGTGGAGCTTTGGCGCGATTTTCGCTCGACGACGACGACGACGACGACGAGGAAACATTTTCGAGGGGAGTTATTGTTGGCTTCGCGTATACTCTTTCTCATAGTCGTGCCATTTCCCGCTATATATTCACGGAGCTTGCGAGCGCTTCCCTGTGTGCGCGTCTCTATCTCGGCAGAGAGGAACTTTCGAGAGCTTTTTCCCTCGACGCATGGTTACGAGCGCAACCTACCCGTACATATACGTGTACACGCCTGGATATTCCCTGTAGTTTCAAACGTCCTTACGAACCATTATTTCATTATTTTGCGACCGACTGATTTGTAAACTCCAAAAATTGAGATTTCACTCGTGCACCGATGGGATTTCGCAAATCGGGGACTTTTTTTTCCTGCTACGGATCGCTTATTGTTTCCGATTCGTTCGATTGGAAAGTTTCGACTCGACAGCGGCAACAATGTTCGATTAATCCTCGCGCACACCGATCGGTCGCGCAACTACTCGCTTGAAAAAGCCTCCTATATCGCCGAGGCGAGAGCCTTATTACGTGTGTTGCATTATACGCGCGACGCGCGCCCGATAAGCGGCTATACACAATCACTTACACGCTGGACGAGAGAGAACAAACAAAAAAAAACGGTGTATATTCAAAATAAACGTGAAAAGACTCTCGGTCTCTTTCTCTCAAAGCGTGGAAATTAATTATCGTAGCCTCCTACTCCTCCTTCGCGCGCAATCTTCGTCAAAACCACTGCCACCGCCTCTGCCCGCCCGCCACTAAAGCTAACAAGAAATAGCAGTATAAGCTCTCGCGCCGTTCGCAATCTCTCATTATATATACGACGCCGACTAGAGAGAGAGAGAGCTTAGCACGGCAATATATGTGTGTTTCTTGCAGCAACGCACGTATACCAACACACACACACACACCTATACCCACGTCGTACACGTATAAACGCATAAACACGTACGTGTATACATAGTGCTTGGCTCTCATAATGAAAACCATCCTAGAAAATCAGCGACGCAGAAGGGTAATTTCACCTTGCACCGAGTTCAAACGCGCAAAAGACGCGTCGGAGAAAAAGAGAGATCGGGATGAATGCAAAAATTTGTAGCCGTTCTTAGCCCAGCGTAATTTCCCCCAAACGGTTCGGTTGAACCGATTTTATAGGTCTTGTTTGATTACAACCGATTCATGCAACAAAAGAAAACGATCAATTCGTACAGAGTGAAAAAAGGAAAAAACGTTGACAAAGGAGTTTTGGAAATCAATTAAACGAGCCCACGACGATCTAATAACCTCGGGGTCAAAACGAAGACGGGTCAACGACGTCTCGAGCGATCGACAGCAAAGCACACGTGTATATACAGTAATATAACGTCTGTGTGTGTAAGTGTATATACGATAGACTTAGTCACCACAACAGGCGGAATGCGGCGCGCAGTCGTGCCGCTGCTGGTCGAAAATATAACACACGCAAACGGACATGGTCTAGTCGCATGCAGTCGTCGCCGATGCAGGCAAGCGTCCAAACTAACGTCTTATACGTCTCTTTTTTCCTCTATCCGTTTCTTCTCTTTTTCAGCTTTGTACTCTCTCTCTCTCTCTCTCTCTCTCTCTCTCTCTTTCTCTCTGGTATCTAATCGTGCGCGATTTCAATCGAGGAAAAAACATTCAACGGAAGAAACAATCTGGACGATTGGTATAAGGTGAATTTGTGCTGCACAACCCGACTGTATTCATAGCTCACGCAGTAAAATTACTGCAGCGAGTGGGTATCGCCGTTTCGTACGGTCGTTCTGCTGCATAAGCTTTGAACTCCAAGCTCTAGACTCACGCAGACTCGTGGATGGAATATAGATGCGATGCACTCGATTGCATTACGTGATCGGAATTAAACTAAATGATTAAATGATCCAATTAGTTTTATTTTTATTACTTTTTTTTTTCAATTCAACTGTCTGTTTTTACTAATGCGTACCTTTTTTGAGATAGAATTTCAACGCTACCGGTCGGTCGCTATAAAAAAATCATTTCATAACGTATGAGATATTGAAATATAATTGTGCTTGCAACATTTAAAATTTTAGATGATGAAAATTGTTCATTCCTTGTAATTTTTAGCATCAAACTGTATGCATGACTTGTTCCAATGAGCTAGTATCTTTGACATTGTTTATTGTAAAACATACAAATGATACACAATTATTTCAATAGACATTTATTTTTCATTTTTTTTTAATCTAAAAAAACATTGATTACAATTACACCTATGGACATTGCTTTTTCTTTGGTACATGCAGCATTAATGTAATGGTATATTTACATGCAATTTTTCTCCATTAACATTGAACAATGCGTGGAAATATTCAAGATATCTCGTTTAGACAACAATCACAATAAGAACATTTTGGCGAGCTCGACTCTCGAAAGATTTCGCCAAAAATCCAATCTAATTATTTATTCCCTAACGGAACTTGATATTTAGTCGACGATCTATATAGCACACACACACATTTAGGGTCTCTCAAGTCGATCGATCAGTAATTTTCGATCGTCCTTTTTTTCGTTCTCATCGATCCGACGGATTGAACTTACGCAATAATGATTAATGGTAACATTTAAAGACAAAAATCTAGTAAGCATGAAAAAAAAAGTTAACTCACGTTGTTGCTTGTGCATGATCATCATTTGTTCGTGTTTATGCCAAGTAGCGTCTGTGGTGTCGGTGCCTCTGGGTCCGGTGGTCGGTGGTGCTTGCACGGGACCAACACCGCCGCCTGCGCTGCGAACTCCGCCGGGCCCGCCGCTGCCTCCACCACTGCCGTACTCCATGCTGGTACTGTAGCAGCGGTGGCCTCTGCTCTTGACTGCTCACAGCCCAGCTGTTTGTCAAGGCAGTCGATGGTCTACCTCACAACGACATGTAGATGGAATTGAGAATTTCTTGTCCCTTCGGTTGGGGGGAGGGGTTAACGACTCGAGAGCTGTTTGTTTGTTTGGTTTTATTCACTCGACCAACACGCGCAAAGATGTATTCAGATTTGGGAAAGAATAGTAAAAGAAAAAAATCAACGATAGCGAACACTCGTGGCAAGTCGTCTTTTTGAATCACTTGTACACATACGTGACGAACTTTATTTATTTGGTTACAAGAAAATTAGTGAAAGAGAGAAAAAGAGAGAAAGAGAGAAAAAGAGGGGTTCACTTTCAACCCGTCGACTTCGTCATTGATGCAGCTGGCTGCTGCTCGTCAGCACGATTGGCAGCGATTGGCTCGTCTTGTGATTCGTCGTATGTTTCAGTCGTCTTTGTTGCCTCGGTCCAAACCCTTCCATACGCGAACTTGTAGGGTCAGGACAGGACTTTTGAGTTGTCAATCTTTGCGTTTTTTATTTCTAATACGTTGTCACTAGCATCTTTCATGTGGCTCCTGCTTTCTTTTTTTCTTGCACCGATCTCCTTTGTTTTTACTTAGCCTTAAGTAATTGACTCGTTTGGTTTATCTTATTGACAGTGACTCTTTTCTATTTTGTGACGATCTGAAACAAAGTTAAAAGGACTTGATTAGAATCAAATTTACATTTGCATTTGTTACAATTAATAATAATTGATTTATTAAATCTAATGACGGTATTCTAGGCCTAACCTCGAGGCAAAGCTGCGAGATAATAGAAAGAGCTGGTGATTGCTCTAAAAAAGAGTGGCTCGGAAAATAAAATTCGTCGCTCCCTGACCCTGTATGACGCAATGCACATAAGTATCTGGGATATGTCTTTTAATAGCATTGGGTCAACGAATATACAGATCAATGAGCACGTACAAGTCGATGTGCGTACGTAGAGCCGTTGGCCCGTCACGTTTTTCGGGTACAATTTCAATTTCACAGCAGCATACGATGCGCCACAAGAGATGTTACCCTCGCACGGGTGGATCATTATGAGTTATTTTCGCAATAAAGCTCAAAGTGTATAAAACGTTTATTAAGTCTTTCGCATGCAGGAAATGTGTAACAATTATAATATAGGTGACAGAAAAGCAATCAAGCCCCGGCGGCGTGAATGTAAAAGTGCATGTGGCGGCTATTAAACGTCAAACGCGAGAGACGTTTTACTTAAAATTATGCAAGTACACATTTGCCTTTCCATGGTGAAATGTGTTGACGACATGCAACGGGTATAGGCGCGCGCGCGCTATCGTGTGTCAGCTCTCGTGTATAGGCCGAAACTCATTTTGTCCTAATTGAATGTTTATTGCTTTATGTAAGCATACTTTGCCGCGGCATCAAAGCTCTCGCGCCTCCTTAGCTGATAAATTCGATTAAATTTCATATTTTTTTCTGCCGATATACGCGCGCGAGCGTGAAATTCAGCATGGCTTGAAAAGCAAAAAGGTATTCGTGATTCAAGGAATGTACTCGCGTTACCATATATCGCATTATAAATTCTGTTGCAAGGTATGTATTTTAATTTATTTTGAAGCTTTACTTTCTGCAAAGCATTAAGACGCATACACTGTCAATTAGAAACGTTTTTTTTCCTCTTTTGTTAAGAGAGAAAGTCATGAAAAATATGTATAACACATGGATGGGTTTTACAATCTGCTCTCTTCAGTCTGGGCTCGTGACATCGAATGCAAAAAAACAATATATTTCATTTAAAATATATGAACTAGAGCGCGATTGCAATAATAATTGGTCAATCGGTTAAAATCACAATTTCGTTCATAATGAAAGTATCCAGAGAATTTAGATCAGATTTCGTATTTCTTGTTGATGTTAGAAATGATAATAAACAAAGCTTTAAAAGCCGAAAAATAAGCTTTTCTGATTTTTTATATTCGACTTTATTTTGTAATCAGCTCCACGCAATTGTAAATTTGTAGATTTCACATATTCTCGCTGATTGAGATTTACTGAAGTAAAAAAAGGAGTTCATTTTTAAAGCGATATAACGTTCATAACGGACAAGAAGTCCGTACAAGTCATCGCCGCTGCGCACCGGTGTCTACGTAACAGACCAGTGCTTACTTTTATTCGCATGCTTCAATGCAATGAACTTACTAGTGAGTGTCGAAAATTTAATTCCCCCCTGAAAGTCAAGCGCACTTTCGAATATGATTTTGTTTTTAAAATAGGTGAATACAATAAGCAATTGACGAGCAAAAAATAGAAAACAATTCAATGAAGATTCGTCGTATACAGATTCTTTGAAGAGTCAAAAACAAAGATGTGCTCCGGGTAAGTGTAGCTGAACGAGACTCGTGTTCATTGTACACATCGGTGTGACGACTCAGAGACGAGGAGGATCAAGTTGAAGCAATTATAAAGTTTATAATACGAGTGAAGTCTCCAGGAATAACCTCATACAAATGAAGCAGTTCTTTTTGCTCTCGTCTAGTATAAATATGTGCTGTATATATTTGTGTGTATGTGTTGCGCGCGTTTGCGCTTGCAGCGGCGCGCCATACAGTGTCTAATTACTTCCTCGACTCGAGCTTGAAACGACAACGACGACGACGACGCAGAGGCATAACGGTCCAACTGCAGAGCAGCGCATCACCAAGCGATAAACAAACGTGTGACACTTTGCGCGCGCCTTCTCAAACGTGCGTGCGCAGCGGGGCGCGTATCTATCTAGCCGGATAAATAAACACCAGCAGCATCTTTTATTAGTTCTCCGCGTCTACTCTCTGTTTATATTATCATACATAGGCTCTGTCTTGTCTTGTTCACACGTTTTCGAGGCATTGAATTCGTCGTCGTCGTCGTTTCGAACCACAGCGATAACATTGTTTGCTCGAGGCAGAAAAATATGAAAACGCCTGATTATCGGAGAGAGAGAGGCCTATGGGACGCGCGAGCCATGCTGATGACATCGATTTTTATTGTCGCCTCCATCTATGCCGACAGATAGATATATATGTATAAGTAATAAGGCTTTATCGAAGACTTTACATAACCCGTTAGTCGGAATCGAGGTGCTTACATCACGCCTCGGCAACGTCGTTAATTTTTCTTTTTCTTTTAATAATCACTCGATGAATGTGTGCGATCGAATACTGTATCGCGCAGAAACATCGCGTCCATATTACACACACGTCCGCGAGCATGCGTGTGCAAAAGAAAAGAAAAATGGTACATCGAAAAGCTGTGGCAGCGCATGTGAGGCACAACACCACGATCGAGCATCGAACGCTATTCTTCCCTTTAACGCACAGCTGATTCCTCGGCGGTCGCGCCGCTGCCGCTGCTGTTACTGCTGCTGCTGCTGCTGCTGCTGCTGCTACTGGCGTTCATCGTCGTCATTTCGGAGCTCGCGCGCGCAGTGTATATACAGTACTGCACAATACATATAATACACCTAACGCCAAGCGCGCCCGTGAGAAGAGCCATGTTCCCCTCCCCACACACAGACACGTATAAAACACATGTACACGCACACGTACGTACGTACACACATGCACAGAGCAGACTCACACATGTTTGCAATGCTCGCTTGCACATAGTCACTCTCTTTCCCACTCTCTGGCTTGTATACATGCTGAATAATATTTCCCAGGAGCTCTTGCCGCCGCCACCGCCGTCGTCATCGTCATCATCATCGTCGTCGTCGTCGTTAACAGCGTCGTAGTCGTCATCGTTATCACGATAATCATCGTCATAGTTATCAGCGTCATCGGTCGTCATGAACGTCAACGTCAACGTCGTCGTCGTCGTCGTCGTCGATACGATGCGCGGCTGCGTCTCCCTCGGTCGCTTACACCTGTATGCTCGCACACGCCTGTGCTCCACGTATACGGCCCAGCTGGAGCTCGGAGCGTTACGCGCGCGCCTCGTCTATTTAACCGTCGCACGAAAAAAAAAAACGAAGGAAGCCAAAGAGAGAAGCGACAAGGAAAATATGTATTTCGGAGCAGCTCGGAGGAGGATGGCGCGAGACGCACGCGCTGCGCAACGACCTTTGGCCCCGCTCATCGACGACGAAGAGAATAACGCCGCGATGTTCGCGCGAGCAGCGATGCAAAAATTATGTATTCCGTGCATTTGGCTGCGGCACAGCCACTCTCGATGTGTGTACACATGGCGAAATATACAATCGAGGTACATATTCGTCGGCGAGCGAAGTACACAGCGGGTCGTTCACGTAATCCGAATCGTTCCTCTCGACTCTCCTTTTCTCGCCCAATCGTTCGGAGTCGGTATCGAGGAGTTTTTTTTTATTATTGCGATTACGACTAATCTGGAGCTGATACGCAATCGAGGTGTATATACCAGAAGCGAGAAACAACGGCTGTACTTTCGAAAGTCGGCAGCACACATTTGCACGCGCGCGCGCGCGCACATAGGTACACACAAGCGAAGGCACGAACACAAGCTCACGGGCGTGTATAATGTATTATATACGAGCGCACACGTCATAAACGCAACACATGTTTTTGTCAATTGTTGTTGTTGGGGTTTGGCATCGGGGCTAATGACTCATCGTTGACAGTCGAAGACGCGTTATTCGTCAATCGCAAAGAATCATCTCGGTGCGATGCAATGCAAGTCTTACCGAAAAAGTCCATTGACCTTGGACTGTGCTGTGGCTGCGGATGATGCGTTCGTCAATACGAGCGATGAACCAGCATCGTCTGCGCGGAACAGCGCGGAGTGGACGCTGCACTCCTTCGCGGCTATCGAGTAGCGTAGCACAGAGCCACGTCCTAGACTGGGCCGGAGTACACTCTTTCTTTCTCTCGAGTCGCGATGATCGTACGTTACACAAGTATGTACACAAAATAGGAGCACACGCACACGCGCACGCACATACACACACACAGGCAGACGGACGTGCTGCTCTCTTCGGTCGTTGGTCCGGAAAAAAGAAATTTTAAAGCGGTACACTGCGGACTGCACTTTTGTACTCGCACATAGCACACACTAGGAAAAACACTCGCACTTTTCTAGCACAGAGCAGCTAATACAAGCACAAACTTTTAGCACACGCGGAATCTTTGAGGTTAGGCACTGCTGCTCTCTCTCTCTCTCTCTCTCTCTCTCACTCGCTCTCAAGAGAAGGTGTATATATATATATCTACGTATATATATATAAATTAGTATATATGTAGCCACTAATACCCATGCACACTTTGCACTCGAAGACCCGTGGAGCAGCAACGACTGGGACAACGAGACGATTGGTTCATTGCAAGCGTTCCACGGCACGAACACGACACATTTATGTAAATCTATGTATACTATTATGATACATATACACACTTATATAGGGACTGATTCATGGAGCAAGGCTGCATCGGGAGCTCGGCCACTTCTATCTTTGGGGCCAGACTTTGCAACACTGCGTATCACACACACTTTGGCGCGCACACGTTTTTCTATGCGTTAAATGTATATGTTTTATTACGCACATGCATAAGTTTTTATCTCATGTGTACGTGTGTACGGAGGAGCAGCGCGCGCGCGGATAGACCGTCCGCTGAACGCCGCTGAAAAAATCCGATCGGAGCCAAGCACAGCGTGAGCGAGAACTAAAGCTACATGCCAGTTTCTCGTGCGCTTATACACGGCAAAAAAGCAACTTGCGGCGCTTGCTGCTGCTGCCGTCGTCGTACAGCCGCCACCGCTATGGTGCCGCCGCCGCCGCTGCTGCTGCTGCTGCAAACCACACGCACACATACACCGCGCGGCATGTATACACACACATACACGCGAAGGAGAGCGCACATCTGTCTATGCGGGTGAATTGTGTGTGCCTAAGTGCCATCTACAGTCGCGAAAGCGTTTCTACGCCGTCGGTGCACACTGCGCCCAAGTTAGAAAAAGACGGAAAGACTCGCACTCGCTGCTGCTGTGTATGCGCGACCAAGCCGAGTATATGTGTGTGTGTGAGAGAGATCCGCACCCTCAACACACACACGCATTCGTTACATACATGTATATAGACGAAGCCGACGCGAACGCGGCGATGTCTTTTCCTGCACATACTTCATACCGACATGCCCTGCGCGAAGAAATTGATGCATAGCATTAGGCGCGCTGGCGTTGATGCACGCCTCAGAAGCGCGACAGCGTCGCCGAGTATAGAGTGCACACACAATGCGACACATTCTCGGAAAAGACACAGTTGAACGCCCTGCGCATACATACATAGATACGGTCACAAATGTGCTGTTGCTGCAGATAAGTCAACGCGATGGCTGGCAATTGGCATGTATATGGGTGTGTGTGTGTGTGTCTGCGCGCACCCGTGCATGTGTGTAGTGTGTACGTGTGTCTGTAATAACGTGTATATTTAATGTAACGCTGTGCGCGCGCGGTTGCCGAAGCATCGGCGCGGCGGCGGCAACGGCGATTGCGGCGAGGGGTTTGTGTACACGACTCTCCTCGCCTCTCTCGCTTTCTTTCTTGCTCCGAACTTATATTATAAATTTGCGCGATTACACGAGCATACGTAAGCACGTAGGTGCAGATGAAAACGTATGTATACATTGGAGGCATTGCCTCTATCTCTCCAGGCAATGCTCTCTGTACATGTCACTTGCAGGCACGCAGAGAAGCTGGCTCAAGGCTCTCTTTCTCGTTTTCGCGGCCTTTGCCAGAGATTCGCTTATGGAGACAGAAAGGTACCGACCTAACCTTCACGTTTGGCGGGGACTCTAGGCTCTTTCTGTTTTGGACTCCAAACACATAACACATAGGCGCATATATACACTTCTGATCTCACTCTCTATCTCTCACACATGAACTCATGTAAGAGTCCCAAGTAGAACATCAGGGTGCATACATAATACATACATGTTTTGCAGGCATCGGAGGTGTAAGCGTAAATATTGTCGGTGCAGAGTTGGAAAAAACTTACCTCGCCGTCTCGCCTCGCAAGGGTCGTCGAAATCCAGGTCGGGAAGCGCGGAGCTTGCTCTCTCGCGACTCGCTAAAACTGCCTCGCGACGAGTGCGTAAATATATCCGAGCTGCTGCAATGCTCTCTGTAACTCTCTGTTTCGCGCCCGAGTCGAATGTCGAGCAGCAGCTGCGATGATACATATAACAACGACGATGAATCTCTGCCTCGCGACTGATTTTTCTGTTCAGCTGTCTTGACTCGTGCGCTTGGCACTGCTGTTGCTGCTGCTGGCCATGATTTGTATACAACAACACATGATCGTGTCAACGACAAGGAGCCACGACGAAGGGGGCGTACGTCTTGGGCCACATGCGATAATGCACAACAACAACAATAACAATAACAACAATAACAACGACGACGACGACGACGACGACGCAACAATAACAACAACACACTAGAACGCTGAAGATTCTGCACGACGCTCGGCACTTGTGTCTCTTGTGTTGTTGATAATGCGCATGCTGCAACCGAGAAGCAGAAAGTTTCGCTCACTCACGCGCGCACCAAACTCGACTCACGGCCCGCTGAACGCAGCGAGAGCTGCTGTTACTCCTATATGTCTATACGTGTGTTATGATAATATGTCGGGGGCCTCTTGCTCTCTCGCGCACACAAGTCTATATATGTATACATCTATCGATGCGCGCGTGTATGTATACAAGAACAACAATCACTGCAACTGCCGCGACGAGCACATGAGCACACGACGCAACACCTTGTTTGCACCTTCTTTTTCCCCGTCTCTCTTATCCCCGAAAACGAGCGCAGCAGCGACACGTTTGTTTAAATTAAAGATACAGTTTTCGACTCGAGGAGAAAGATAATAGAGAGAACTGCGAGAGAAACGGTGAGACACACAGAAGCACGGGACTCGCGCGCGCGCGGCGGACACGCTGCTGAGTGCTGCTGCTGATGTTACTTGCGGATGGTTGTGTTCGTTTTCGCCTCGCCGTACATGTATAGATGTGCTGCACATACATGTACAAAGGCAGTGGATATACCTTCGGAGTTCGGTTCGGAAATCCGAGTCGTCGACGACGACGCGCGCGCACATACACGAGCTCGGTCGGGCTACTACCACAATTGCATCAGGGCCATGCACACACGGACGCGGGCGCTATGCAGCTATGCTCGAAAAGCGCTGCTACTGCTGCTGCTGCGCTGCGCCGACATGGTATATATAAGTATGCGAGCCTTGTGTATACATGTATAATATTGTGTATATGTTGTACGATGCCAACGCACACGACTCGAGACTCTCTCAGGAGAGTTGTTGTTGTGCTCCGATTTTTCGCACCGGTGCTGTCCTCTGCACTTTGCCGCTGCACTTATTTTGAGTAGCTGAACCGACGGGCGCGCGTTACGACTTACGAGACGATGACTGCGATCTTGGAGCCTTGATTATTTGCCTGCGTTTGCTTTCGCACAGCATAGACCCAGAGTCTTTGCCTTTATAATATCCGATGACGCGTAACCTTCTCTTTTCTTTTTTTGTATTTCAACTGGCGTACGAGACTTTCATTTCGTCGTTTCAACGGTCGCAGTCGCTGAGTCACCCAAGAGTACTTGACTCGTAACTGGTCCTTCAGTTCTAAGAGCTTTTCCCGCATTATAAATATGTCCGTTCACATGCGTACTATACGCTCAAAAGGAACCATACAATTTGGAATCTTTGCTCCTTAATAGAAGTTTTAAATTTGAACTTTTTCAAATTCAACAAATTCGAATTCATGATTTGAACTCCGAAGAAGCTTTTAAAACGGCAGTATACAGCTATTTTTCAATTATCTGTGGTTTCTAAACAAATGTTTTTTTCACGCGGTAAATATATCGATAAAATTTCAGTAATAGGACTTGAAGGCGCGACTAAACGCCCCCGCCGCACCACAATGAACTCGCCTTCCGCGTATTCGAACGCCAACGGTCTTTAGCCATACCTATACAGTGTTTGTGTGTGTGTGGACTGTGGATAGACCGAACGCGAAAAGTTACTGAATTCACACGGGGGGCTTTTTAACGCAACGCGTGCGCATCGTTGCCGGGCGCGGACTGCGGAGGTCAAAAGCCGCCACCCGCCGCAAAGTAATGCAGTACAAACAACCCCACGCGATCGTGTCAGCTGTCCAATTGTCAACTGTGCATTATACATGCGATACAATTTAACCCAATCGAATTTTATTTTATTCGATTTGTTTTTCGTTTCTTTTTCATACTTGTTGTTTAATCATAAATTACCAACGTGCAAGTCTCACAATCGACATTTCAAAAATAAAAGCTCTTCTTACTTATCCAAAGCGTGTAATTGATTCAGTCAACCTTTGTAGAAATGAATGTGACGCTAGTTTGTTTGAACACTTACAGTTTGATTATATTTTTAAAAAAAATTCAATTTGATTTGCGACGTGTGCCCAGAAAATATTATTTTGATCACGATGCAAACCTTTTCATACTTTTACCTTAAATGAGCTTACCTTTTTTTATTCATTACTATGGTAGCTTTTAATGTACAAACTTGGTCATTAGAATTATTTATGCATGCTCTTATTCTATATCATGGCAAACATTTTTAGGATTAGGATATAGAACTTTTTGAATTGATGTAATCGTTCTGAGTAATTATTTTATTGATAAAATTTTCATACAAAATCTTTTTATTGAAAAAAAAAAGAAAAATAATAACGATTTGAAGTGGATGAAGAAATTTTAGTATAAAAAAAAAAACACTTAGAGCCAAGCAATGACTTGTTGAAGTAATTATCTAGTTTAGAAAAAAAAATTAAATAACGAAAACTGAAATTCGAATACACGAGGCGAAGGTTTTACTACCTAATATAAACTTTGGTTTATCTGTCCTCTTAATAATATAAAAGTTCAGCTCTATAACATCGACATATTTTCATACCTATAGGTAGAAAAAAAACTAGTAAACTAAATTATATAATAATTTAAAACGAAGATTTACCCTATATTTCTTTTATGAACACATATTTACATACACGATTGATTTGAGGAAAGTTCCAGTGATTAATCAAATCAGCGCTACATGATTTGTTCTGTGTTGTCATAGCTCCCATGCAAGCTACTCCGTCGAGTAAGCCATGGAATGAAAATAGTCACAACATAATTACCAAGATCGGTAACTTCTGCACTTCATCAGACTCCCTCAAAATCGCTTGTCAGTACCTCACACACGGCCCGTTTAGTAATTCGGACGAAAACCGGCGCCAACCCTACCTCCTCGAAAGGTTTGTCTGTTTGTCGCAGCTCCTCTCGCTGCGTTGCCCATCGAATCCATGGTCGGCTGCTGTCGTTGATGCTGCTGCTGCTGCTGCTGCTGCTGTTGTTGTATCTGCTGTTGGAGCTGCTTCCAAGGTTCTCGATTGAATCCTCGCTCCTCAATTATTTGCAGATCGTCCTGGTCCTCTTCGGGTACGGGCGAGGGACTCTCCCGCGTATCCAAATCATCGCGATTCATTGTATTTTGCATATTGTTCCTGTTAATAAAACCAACACCGCCGTTGCTACCGAACATGTTGTTGTAGTTCTCTTCTCCTCGCATTTGCATCATGCCGCGTTCGCGCATCATTTCCATGCGATCCCGTTCCTGATCTCTAAATACGCCGATACTCCTGACGTCTCTCATTTCGACTTCTCGAGCTCTGAGCTCTATCTCGCGGTCCCTCATGTTCATGGCGTTGCGGTCGACGAATCTCTGATTCATGGCGCTCTGGTCCATGAGCATGCGTCGTTCCAAGTCCCGATCCATGCGCTCGACCGGCATTCGATCCCCGGGCCTGCGCTCCATTTCCAGTTGACCGATCATTCCGCGCTCCATGTCCAACCGATCTCCTCCTCTACGTTCCATACCGAGCATCTTGTCACCGATCGGCCTGCGGTCCATACCCATCGTGTCCATTCCCATTCCTAATTGTTCTACGGGCATACGATCGATATGCATACCAGCAGCGCCGTGATGATGGTCGCTGACGATCGGTTGTAACTTGGGCGGCGAGAAGGGACGGTTGTTCCAATTGGCTTGCTGCATCATTCGCTCGCGGGCATGGTTCATCGACCAACGTGCCTCGTGATCAACATCGCGCGTCGTTTTTACAGCGTGATCGAATGTCTCTCTCATACTCCAATCGAGTCTATCAGCGACCGGTCGTCGCTGTAACTCTTCTCGAGGGGCCGTCAAGAAATCCTGATCCATGACTTGCATGCTAAAATCTTGAGTTTCAACGGTGGTCTGTACAGCAATGGATTCACGACCGGGATCATCCGTCTGGCATATCTTCTGTACGGTAATGACGCGTTTACGATCATGAGACAAGAGCTGCGATTGTAATTGTTTTTCTTCTTCCTCCCAATGAATTTCCGTACGACCTTTACGTATGAGAATCGAGTTTGACAATTTTTTTGTGTCTTTTTTAGGAAACTTTTTTTCGGGATCGAAGAAGAAACGACCTTTCATGTTCAATCGTGGATCTTCAGTTGGTAGACTGCGCAACGCCTTTTCGCATTGACGTGTTATTTCCGGCCTGTAACCTGTTTCGTGATAAATTCAAAGATTTATATTTTAATTAGATTAATAATTAATTGATTATTGTATATTTTTGAAACTCACCTTTCCATGTAGGTATTAGTCCAGATGAATCTGTGAAGTAAAACAGGTAAAACTTAAATTTTATTTTTCAAGAAATGGTCTAAAATTAATGTTACTCCGGCAGAATAAAACTGGTTCTCGTTTTTTATCAAATATCCCTTTCATGATTTTGATGTTCAAGGCCCAGCTTGTAATAAATAAAAACCACATTTTGATTTTAATGCATTAAAACTACGTTATAAACGGCGTTCAACTATTGCTTTGCAATTATACAATCAAAAAGTGATTGTGCTTAACTATTTGCAATAGTTCAACCATTCAAGGGTACTACATTGAAGTAATGTTATAAAAGCGTATACTTCAAGGATTAACTGAAAATTTAATAAAAGTATTTTGTTTTACGCGTCTGAAATGAATAAAGAATCGTTTAAACCGCACCTTTTGTTGAAACGGAGGCCTCCAAGAGACTGGATAAACTGGTCTTCTCAATAATCTGTAAAGGCAAAGATTATTTTTATAAAAGTGCTTCGACACGTGACGAAGTAAACGCATGAGAATCTCATCAACAATCATGTACGATTCAATTCCCAAGCAATACCTCAATTACATCAACCAGCAGAAAGTGAAAAAAAAATTACTTTGAAATCAGAAATTATCGGAGGTTCCGGTGTTCTCATGCGGTCCTCCGGGCTTTCCGATCTGGTGCAGTAGTGCGGGTCGTTGGGCGTATAATAGTTCGCTGGCATCTGTTGATGTGTGCAATCGTCGGGGTATATCGGATTCATGGGGTTCATGGGGAGACCAACGGAAGGAGCAGCGGGTACCGGTTGAGGCGACATGGATCTCATAATAGGAACTGACGGAACTCCTGGGTACATGACGGATGGAGCTCCGTAATCGGGTGCTACTCCCGGTCCGTAACTCGGACCAGGGGGACAGGCATCGTAACCCATGTAGGGTGGTGGGCCGCCCATCATGGGCACTTGAGGTGCCATCATGCCAGGTGGCACCATCATGCCTGGTGGTGGTCCACCGGCCATCATTCCGGGTGGAGGTACGGACATGAAAGAAGGCGGCATCTGATCGGGTCCGCCAATCTGCTGATGTCCGTGTGTCATGGGTGGTTCCGGATTCATCGGCATCGAGTCGGCTTGGAACTGTCGTGCGAGCTCGTTGATGAACGGCGAGCGTCTCCTCGAACGATTCGGCGAGCGTGATATCGATCGGCGACGACGACGTTCGCTGTAAGGCGAGCGGCTGGAACGACGGCGATGATCCGGTGTCCGGCTGCGACGACGCTCCAACGATCGGCTCCGGCGACGCTCGATGCTTCGAGTTCGGCGGCGTTCGCGAGAACGACTTCTACCGCCCACTCGTCTGTGAAACCCCCAAAGTCAACATAGAGCTTGTAATTGCAATTACATTTATCTTTTCATTAAATTTGATAAAATAAAATAGATTTTCAACGATTTTGGGGAACGTTATTCATGCAGTTATCACTCGCTTTTTTGAATGTCAACGAAAATGTGAAACGAAGCGCTATTTCACTTTGTGACATTCAGTAACGTAATTTTGGTATTGGTACGTTTCGACGATAAAAAATCTCCTACAAATAATTTCGGATATTTATGGATCAAGATCGCTCGATCTCGCACCTGGAGTTATATTATTGTTTCGGGAGCGTTTATTGCTTTCTGCGATATCTTCTTAGCAATTAATTTTGTAAAACAGTGAAAAAAAGAACGTAATTCTGCGGTTACATTCGTAATATCAAAATTTTATTCATTTCCCTTATAATTTTCATTTCTTCCTTTTTAATTTATTTAACGATGAGTACCGTGTGATGTACGCTCACTTTTTACGCTGTGAAAAAAAAAACCTCTTCAACGCTTTTCCTATCTCGTTTGAAAAAAATATAAATAATACACGACATCGAGTATCGTATCGATATCGAAATGTAAAAATATGAAGCCTTGATATATTTTTTGTCGATTCTATTGCTAAACTGAAAAAATAATTACGATGACTGTTAATATACAATTGATGTTTGGCACTTGGAATTATAATTAGTAAAAAATCACTCACTACTATAAACCATTTTTAAAATACTGTCAAACATCTTGCTCAGTATCACTTAATAAATTAATACATTCTACAGCTAAACTTTTTAAACAAATACCCGAGTTAATAAAACAAATTTAAGGAAATATATATTTACCGTTCGCGCAATCGTCTCCTAGATAAAGCTCGTCTTTCCGAACTGTTGTCTCGACGTTCGTGACTTGGACTGCGACGCCTTGGAGGACTTCTACGTGGACTAGGTCTTCTAGGTCCAAGTCTCGAATGAACGGGACTACGGCGTCGATTATCGCTTCTCAGACGATTACGCAAATCTTCTTCTTTTTTATCATGTTCAGTTTTTTCCTTTTCTTTCTCTACCATACACTCTATGGCTTCACCTTCGGTACCCGGCGGTACAACATCATCAGAATCAAGAAGATTCTTTATGGCCTTTTCTTTTTCTGCCAAAATTTTGCTCTCGCTATCTTTTTTTGTCTTTATTTTGTTCTGCTCGATATCCTTATTGCTCTTATCTGGATCACGGCGCAATTCCTTTTTGATTCCTTCGCCGCCGTCTGCGAATCGTTTTTGGCCACTGCTTCGAGATCTTCGACTGCTGCGGGATCGTCTTCTGCCACTGCTGCGAGATCGTCGCCTGGTACGATCTTTATCCCGTTCTTTATCTCGTTCGCGTTCTCTTCCAGCATCTCGATCCCTAAAAATGAACTCAGCTTCTTATTTTAAAAAAAGTGTCAGTTAAAGAATGAAATTTTTACAGTATGTAGTGGAAATTTTCATGCGAATTTGTCTGAGTCATTTTTAGAAAAACTATACTGAATTCAAGAAAATGCTAGTTCAAATTCAGCTTTGTAGAAGAAATGCACTAGTACATGTTTGGAATAAGATTTTCCTATTGTACTCAAATTGATTTTAAAAAATTGTGTCAGCATTATTTTGACCAATAATTTTCCTGAAAAGAAAGAAAGTGATTATTATATTCCTAAGTTCTTGTATTGTACAAGAGAGGATGCTTTGCACCATTTTGGGAAAAATGTAACTGCATTCCAGATAAAAGATGTCTTTTACCCACTGAAATATTTAATATTGTCTCTATTGACTTCTATTGTTTACAAATAACAAAAACAAGCTACTTTTATTTTTGACTTAAAAACATTCAATAAAATTAAATTTGAATGTTAATTCATTGAAGATTTTTAACAATAGAGTCATTACAAAATATTTGATTCTGAAAGATTTTTATGTGAAAAGTAATCTTTAAGCTCATTAAACGTAATGCTTTTACTGAACTACATCAGTAAAAAGATACCAATTCTGAAGTTTTTACAAGGTAACATTTTTGCACACACCGCTGAAAATAAAGATATTACCTAATATTATTACAATTAACAATAATTAATGAAAACTTAAATCAATGACATTCAGTGATTAATAAAAAGATTATCAATTTATTTAAGTATACTTTGATAATCTTGTCATTTTAAAATTTAAATTATCATTAGTTATTCTATCATTGAGTTTGTCTGTAACGTTAATCAACTCTTCAGCTCCGTATATACCTTGAACGCCTTTCTCTGGGTCCTCTGGTTCTATCCCAACTTCTCCTTCTTGGTTCTGTTTCTTCCTTGTCTTCTTCATCCCAAACATCCAAAGTATCTAAGAGGCTTGGATCACCAGGGATGCAGTCTTCTTCATTTGCATGATCCTGAGAGCTTGTATGCGTTGAACCAATATCATTTTTGAATTCAGACTTTGTGGCCTTAATTTCTAACTTCTCAACTTTCATGTTCATGGATCTTTTTGTGTCCTCAGCCTTCAAGTTTGCTGCAGCTAGTTTAGAGTCAGGTGAGAGTTTAGGTTCTTGCTTGATAGGCATTGGCTCAACCACTTGTTCTTCAGTCCACTTAGAATCTAAGCTGTCTAAATTTACGTCTTCGGTGAAATTTTCAACACATTTACTGCCCATACTAGCTAGAAAATGTTATTCTGCTAGTGAGGCAAAAACACAAAGGGCAAGAAAGCACATGCGGAGCCTCTCGTGTATCCTTACTTTTCACTACTTAATTAGATTTATACGAATGTATGAAAACAGTTCACCCGACGAAGTCTAAGAATCATTCGACTCTATTGCTCGAATAGTATCAATTTCAGAAAAATCTAATAGAAATTTCTTTCAGCGTGATGTTTTGGCACAACAAACGATCCAAACTCTGCAATAAAAGAATCTTATGAAATAGGCGCTGCACTCACTCCGCCATCTTCCTTATCGTGTAAGGCTGAACGATCAGCCAACGGTCTTATGCGTCTGTGTTTAGCTCGTGCAGAGGGAACAATGCATCGCAAGCAGACACGCTGGTGCGGCAGCCGCGCTCACTGCGCGCTGCGTACTGTAGTACGGCTACATCTACAATGGTAGTCGATAATATTTATAACTTTATAAAAGTCAGTGTACTCACGACAAATTTACTAACAAAGGTCGATTTTCTACATAATATTTTTATTGAAAATTTGGTGATTCTGTAAAAATTAAAATTATACAGTAAAATCATTTCAGTTGTTTTTGAGAACGACCGTGGAAAAACATTTGATTTCCTTTGATGGCTTAAAACCCTCTGAAGAATATTAATTTAATAAAAAATTACTATCGTGGGCAATTTAATGTTAAGCCTTCATTATCTCGGTAGAAGAATTCAAAGCAGTAATTAGGTTTTATGCACTGATACTGTTTAGTACAGTAGTGTCTCGTCACGAATTCGAAGCTAGCGCCAAGCAGTAGGAACGCACGCACGCGGTCGCCACTTCGCTCAGAATACCAGTCAAAATCATTCAGTGCACGAGGCCGGCAGTGAGCCACGTGCTTTTTTGTCATCAGTATAAATATAATATATTGTATACTAATAGTTGAGTTTTTATCAATCAGTTGTGACTATATTATTTCTTTAATCAGGTTCGACAATTTTAAATACATTATTTTTCAATTTAAAAGAAATATTTCAATCAACTGAATCTCGGTCGTTTATTTACAGTGAAAAATGGTGAGAAAGAAGATTGATAATCGTATCCGGACGCTTGTAGAGGATGGAGTTGCTCGTCAACACAGGACGATGTTCGTTATTGTTGGTGAAAAAGCCAAGGATCAAGTTATGTTCCTTCATCACATATTACTCAAATCAACCGTAAGAACCCAACCCAATATTTTATGGTGTTACAAAAAAGACCTTGGCTTTAGTACTCATAGGATGAAGCGAATGAAGATGGTACAAAAAAAATCAAAATTAGGCCAAGTAAATGTCGATCTTGATGATCCATTCCAGCAATTCATTCATTCCTCTAAAATTCGTTACTGTTATTATAAAGAGACTCACAATATTCTGGGTAATACATATGATATGTGTGTAATACAAGATTTTGAAGTCATCACTCCAAATATATTAGCCCGAACATTAGAAACGGTTCAAGGTGGTGGAATAATTGTTTTCCTTCTCGAAAGCTTGAAATCATTGAAACAACTATATACAATGAATATGGATGTCCATCAAAGGCTCAGAACAGAAGCTCACCAAGACGTTGTTTGTCGATTTAATGAAAGATTTTTATTATCTTTAGCTAATTGTAAGCGTTGCTTAGTTATTGATGATCGACTACAGGTATTGCCTATTTCTTCTAGTAATCTTACTATTGCACCTGCTGAAAAAACAACTATTGACACATCTGAATTAGATTCACTTAAAAAGAGTTTACAAGATGAGCAACCTGTTGGCGCCATAGTAAATTGTTGCAAGACTGTTGATCAAGCTAATGCAATAATAAAATTCATTGAAGCTATTTCAGAAAAAACTCTAAGATCTACAATTTCATTAACTGCAGCTAGAGGACGTGGTAAATCTGCAGCCCTTGGTTTATCAATTGCTGCAGCAATTGCTTATGGATATTCTAATATTTTTATCACTAGTCCTAGCCCTGAAAATTTAACGACAGCTTTTGAGTTCATTTCTAAAGGCTTAATTGCATTAAAATATCAAGAACACACAGATTATCAGCTTTTAAAAAGTAGTAATGCAGACTACAATCAAGCTACCATAAGAGTAGACATTTTCAGAGATCATAAGCAAACTGTTCAATATATAAATCCTGCTGATGCTAAAGAAAAATTAGGTATGGCTGAATTATTAGTAATTGACGAAGCAGCTGCCATTCCTCTACCTTATGTCAAAGACATGTTAGGACCATATCTTATTTTCATGGCTTCCACAATTAATGGATACGAGGGCACTGGGCGTTCATTGACTTTGAAACTACTTCAGCAACTGCGGACACAAGCAAAAAGCTCTTCTAAAATAAGTAAAGATTCTGTCCGCCGAAATTTGAAAGAACTCAGTTTGGAGGAACCAATCAGATATCGAGCTGGAGATAGTGTTGAAAAGTGGCTGTGTGAATTATTGTGTTTAGATGCTACAACTGGCATTCCTTCTACCCCGACACTATACCCTAAGGAAGAAGATTGCCAGCTTTATTACATTAATAGAGATACACTTTTCTCTTATCACAAAGCTTCTGAAATGTTCTTACAGAGAATGATGGCCCTCTGCGTATCTTCACATTACAAAAATAGCCCTGATGATTTACAAATGATGTCTGATGGTCCTGCTCATCACCTTTTCTGCCTTTTAGGTCCAGTTGATTCAAGTAAAACTACTTTACCAGAAATACTGGTGGTTATTCAGGTAAATTGATGATCTATTATAAATATAAAAAAAAATGTATATAATAAAAATAAAATTCAGTATTATAATAACAATTTTATTTCTTTCTAGATGTGCCTTGAAGGACAATTAAGGAAATCAACTGTATCCGATGGATTAGCCAAAAGAGAGAAACGAGCGGCAGGAGATTTAATACCATGGACCATAGGTCAACAATTTCAAGATGAAGATTTCCCTTCTCTATGTGGGGCTCGAATAGTGCGAATTGCTACACATCCGGATTACCAAAATAGAGGCTATGGTAAACGGGCTATAAAATTACTAAAAAAATACTATCGTAAGTCTTTTATACGGGATGAAAATGACCTGGATGACGAAGAAATGAAAATAGATACAATTACTGAAGATGAAGATGTAGATTTACTTCAAGAAACAATAGAACCTAAGAGTTCTTTACCTCCACTCTTTTTGAAACTATCCGAAAGACGACCAGAACACCTAGACTACATAGGAGTGTCATTCGGAGTATCCGAGCCTTTAATGCGTTTCTGGACCAAAAAAGCTGGATTTGTACCTGTATACGTAAGACAGACTTCAAATGATATTACCGGAGAACAGTCATGCATAATGTTATCCAAGTTAGGTGCAAAAACCTCTGATTGGCTTGAAGCCTATTGGAAAGATTTTCGACGTCGATTCGTTATGTTACTGCAATCGTCATTTAGGGACTATTCAATACATCTTGCATGGAATATATTATCGAACCAGACAATTCAATTACAACGTGAAACATTACCACGGGAAAAGATGCTTGTTTACTTTACAACTGAAGATATCCAGCGATTGGAAATGTTTAAAAATAACATGTGTGATTACACAATGATATTAGATTTAATGTTTCCACTAGCCAAGTTGTACTTTTTCAATTATATGGGAGATTTAAATTTGTCTGTTCTTCAGTCAACTATTCTTTTAGGCATGGGACTCCAATACAAAACAGTAGATCAAATTGTTGAAGAACTAAATAGAATGGAAGATAAACAAAATATCACCCAAGCTGACTTGAAAGAAAAACAAGAGTTGACTCGAGCTGACTTTTTCAAAGTTTTTAAGCGTCTCATTAGAGAATCTGTTGAGTATTTAAAAAAAGTATTGTGAATATTTAAAATAGTTGTTATGTTTTGTAATAAATATTAATTTTTATCACTACTTTTAATTTTGTTTTTCATTTTATTCTTTGCATATATACAAATGATAAAATTGCAACAGATTATCAATTCATTTATATTACTTAAATGATCTAGCATTCAAAATGTAACTGAAAATACATTTATATACATGGAAACGATTATCTATACGTTGATGACACTCAACAAACTATTAACAATAACAAAGATAGATAAAGATGATAAAGTTGAAACGAATACTAAAAATATCGCAATATCATTATTACGTAAGTCATATTTAATTCTCGTATTTACATAAATTGTTACATTTCAATTAAGCATTCAAGTTTGTTTTCCCATACTGTATCATATGTGTTGCTGTTTTTCGAAACACATTTATCATGCGATTTTGTAGATGACAAACCAAGTCTGAGTATACATTTTGAGGGCAATTATTATTAACTAAAGAAAAATTTACGTGGACATTCGGCCCCTTTTTTTGTATAATGTGACATTCAAAATCCATGTTAATTTTCGGGAATTTTTCACTTGACTCTACATCATTAATAATTCGATTTGTAACATCGATTTCCTTTGCAAGACCACTTATAGAAGGATCGAGAACTGCTTGAGAATTTTTACGATTTGTCCACAAAATTTGTTCACCTAGGCAATGGAAAACAACTTTTTTCATGTCATTGGAGTGAACATCTGATTGGTCATCAACTTTCTGTTGCTTTGTATCTTTAGCTACATGAGTCATTCGAACATTAAATCTCAAAACTTTTTCTAAATATATTTCTGTAAATCTTGTTATTAAGTTGAACCAATGATCGTTCATGAATGATGATTTATCTTTAATATCAGTTCTAGAATCCAAATCTTTAGGTAGTCCAGCTTTCAATAATTTTTTAGCATAAACAACAAAAGTATATTTCTTAACGTGCCTAGAATTTTGTTTAGGTTTAACTATTGCTGTAAAAAGATTTGGAAGAAGATCTTTATAGTTATTTTCAGATTCTTTTGCACAAACTATTGATGCCAAGTCACAATTACTTTGGAAATTTTGTAAATATTTATAAGATACACCTGCTGTAACACTGTGGTTTAATTCATTTGGATCTTGCACACACATACATGTAGTTGTTGGAAAAACCACAGGATTTTCGCTATTTTTAATATAACTTTTATATCTATCCATACACTCTGGTAATTGGTCAATTTCTTGAAATTCTGATTTGAGATGTGATTGCCCATCCAAAGGGCAGACAATATTGTTTTTAAAATCATATTCTTTGTAGAATTCGAAAAATCCTTGTAATAGTTGTGGAATACTTTTAGTTTTACTTATTTCTGGTTGCTCAAATGGCGTGCTCAATTCTTCATAATTAACTTGCCATCCTTCTACTACTTCTGGTATACAATTTTTTTTCAAGTCATAGATAGGTGGGACTATTTTAACAGTAGGTTGTTGAAGATAAAATAAAAATAATAACATCAAGGCATACTTTGACATTCTATCACCATTCTTGATTTCCAAATTACTGAGCCAGTATTTGATAACCATCATTGTAGGCTGTAACCGAGGATCCAATGAGAGATAATAGCGCATCATTTTGCTATTGTATACAGCCAAACTATTTTTAAAAGAAATATCACATGATATATGTGAAGGTATGTAGATACATTTTATGATAGGAGTTTTTGCTTTGGGAATCGGTACAACTTTGGTAAACAAATTTCGTTTGCCATAGAGTTTTCTTTTAACTTCTGCAAAAACAGTTGTAGGAGTAATACTATTTGGATCTTGACATTCATCTTTTTCATGTACTAATCTTAAACCTGTGAAATTGTTAAAAATAATTAGCATGATATTTGAATTAGAAAATTTTGAATTTTAAAACACTTACCAGTATCCAAGAATATATCCAAGTCACAATTTTTAAAACCAAGACCAGATACAGATGAACCAAATCTATGTATAATACAATGAGGAAATTGTTGACGGAAAATGTCAGTTAACTGTATAATTGTAGGTTCATAGCGTGTTTCTAAATCTTGTTGAGTCATTGCAACTTCATTTATAAAAGCTCTTAAACTTTCATCAAAATTTGGTACACCATCGAAAATTGATTTTATATTTTCAAATATCAAATCTTGTGTGTCATTGATAGCAGGTACAGGTTTCTCTACTTTTTTTTCTGGAAAATCAATAATTTTGTTAGTTTGTACCTGATGAAAAATATTGTTTAATAAATGATAATAAACTTACCAAAAGTTTTAGGCATAGTTCTAGGTTTAATTTTAAGTTTTACATTGGAAAAAAACACAGGTTGTTTCAGTAATGCAATAACTGGCTCTCTGAAAAAAATAAATATTTATTCAGACATTCACTAAGTTTCACTGACTAACTTTCACTAACTTTTGATACAGAAATCATGAAGTTGATTTTGTACTGTCAACAGGGACAACAAGACCCCCACCTGTGACAAGTTGCTACCTCCTATACCTACCTTTTCCCACGTAACAGTACACATAATTCATTGAATATAAATCAATACTTGAATTAGAACTTACTTCCTTTCAAATTCCACAATTACATGTTTGGGATACCAAAAATGTTTGTAAATTTTTCCATATTGACTCAAAAAAGCAAGAAACTCTTCTCTGTGCATATATGTAGGAAAACCAGTAATGAAAATGGACCGCTCTGCAATATCTTTGAATAGATTTACTCGAGAAGCAGCTCGTTTGTGTTTTTTCCCATTTTGGTGCCCAACCAAAGCACTTTCATTCACAAAGACCATCTCACAAATTTCACAATAATTTGACATTTTGGTGTGTTTTCTGTTAAATATCTAGAAGAAATAGAATCTGAAATACAAAATTAAGAATAAATGAATGTGTGAAAATTTAAATGGCATTTAAATCTCTAATAATCAATATTCTACTATCTCTCTGAATCAACTATGATTGCGATACTTTGATCAATTAATGTTTAAATCTTTTGAAGCGCAGGGAATGAAAAGTGATCAAAGGTTTTTTTCCAACATTTCTTAGATTTGATTTTTAAAAAAATAAATTTAATATCTTTCCTTAAAATTTGAGAGAAACTTGATAAAAAACGATTTTTATTAAAATGTAGGTTCTAACCTATAGTTTTGTACTATCACGTAAATGCAAACTTCATTTTTTTTATTAAAAAAAAAATAATGTTGATAGTCACGCAGTTGTCAATTTGAACCTGCATCGGCTGCGTCTTATTTACGCTATATACATAATACACATTACACAGGTTTGAGTAAAATTATCCAAAACAATTGCAGATACTGACTTCTACTAGTTTAGTATGATGCTAACTGTATGTGTTTAATCAAAAAGTTGCATCACCCTGAATTTCTAGCCGAGGTGCGTTAAAGTGAAAAGTGAAAACTTGCTCAAATGAGTAAGTGAGATTTTTAAATGCTACTTGAAACAGGCAGATAATTTTTTAAAGACAAAGAGCATCCTCAATATCTCACACAACTCAGATTTGACAGATCAAGAATGTTGTAGAATGATGACATCCCTATAATGAATAGATAATAGAAATAAATATCAACTACACCTGATATGAATTTAAATAACTGTTAGCGTCTGCAATACATAATTCTTTTCTAATTAGATTCTCTTAGTTTGCGTTCCAGCGCTACTCCACGTACGGTAAATACGAAATTTGTATTTTCTTACAGAAGCTACTTTTTACTACTGTAATCACTGTGCGCTAGCGCCATCTATTCAAAATAAAAACGTGGTAGAATTAACTGTTATGATAAAATTTCATGGGAGATCCGATTACAGTGTGATTTTGATTGCCGGTGCATATTTGCATTGTTTTTGTGTGATCATAAACAAAGTACATGATACATACATTTAATGCTTTATAAAAGTTTTTTTGGTAAACATTCATCGCCAAAAGTGTTGTTGAATATAATCCATACATTGATGTTTTTAAACAATTTACTTGATGTTTCATAGCCACTGACATATTGAAGAAGTATTTTGACATTAGTGCACAAGATAGCAAGTTTCAAAACGAATATGGTTGAAATTACTGCAACATTACTCAATGGCTCAACATTTTTTACTAATGAAAGTATAGAATGTTTGATTACATTAAGCTGTCCTGCTAAACCAGAACTTGAAGTTGCTCAAGGAAGCAGGTACAAAAAAATTCTCTATTAAAAAATGTTCAATTCCATATTTTTATTAGTACTTTAAATAATTCATTGTTATCAAGTAGCAATTCTGTAGAAAGCATAGCTTGGGTGAGTGCTCAAATTCATTGCCAGTGCTCAATTAATGAAAAGTTGATTGAAGCTGATAAAGTGCTTGGTAATACAAAACCTGTAGCTGGAACTAGTGGTGAGATGAGTTTAATAATGATTGTTCCTACTATCATTGTACAGTAGGTAATATTTTTTCAATTTTATGTAGACACATCATTTGCTCCATCAAACAAAGATATTGGGCATACAATTTTAAACACAAAGCCAAAAATATTGATCTGCGATTTGAAATTAAAACCTGGAGAACGTAAATCATGTATGTATGATTTTAAATTAATAAATATCATATTGACTTTGTGAAAGAGTATTACTTTTAATATTTTCTTATAGTCAGTTATAAAGAAGCAATACCAAGTAATTCTCCACCTTCATATAGAGGATCAGCCGTGAAGTATGCATATAAAATTACCATTGGTGCCCAACGAGTGAATCAACCAACAAAACTGCTGAAGATACCTTTTCGAGTATTATCTTTGAAAGGTATAAATCATGAAATTATTTTTTTATTAAAATGGTACCATACTGAAGAAATCTTTTTTTCAGATTTACCTGAAGGTGCTGCCTGCAGTGAAAGTGCAGAATTAACACCTAACAATCCATTTTTAGAAGGTCCAAAAGAGACTCCAACTGAAATTGCCATGGAATTATTAGAGGTAACTAACCATACATTTTTATGTTGCCTGGTATAAAGTTGATTAAAAACTCATTATATATTTATATTTTAAATTAGAATATAACAGCTAGAAGAAGTCCAAATTTTTATAACATTACAAATGGAAATGGAAAAGTTGTAAGATTTTGTCTTTTCAAAAATAATTATAAACTTGGTGAAGATATTGTTGGTACATTTGATTTTTCCAATTCAAATGTGACATGTACTCAGATAACAGTTACTCTGCAATCAGAGGAACACATCGCTGAAGATTATTTAAAGGGAAAAGCTGCACCTGCTATAAATGATTCGAATAAACACTCTGAGGTTGTTTTGGGCTACATGCATACCTATTTAAACTTACCAATTCCTTTTCATATAACACCAGATTTCAGTACAGATTTAGTGACTTTAAAATGGAGACTACATTTTGAATTTGTTACATCTGTGAAACCACTTGAATTTCCCACTGAAGAAACTATGAGCTGGCAAGCGCCCATTTCATTAGAAGTTGAACCTATGACTTGGGATTTGCCAATACACTTGTACCCAACCCAAATTCCTCCAAATATTACTCCAGTTGTACAAAATAGCGATATTATTTAAAGCGATAATATTTTTGTACATATATTTTATAAAATCTCATTAGAGAATAAGTGTACTTGATAGTAAGGTTACATGAAAAATTGTACAAAGTATTAAATTTGAATGATGTTGAGTGTTTTTTTTTATAGACTATTTTTATGAATCTTTATGAAATGTACATCTTTGGCTCTATGGATCGTTGAATAAATGAAATAAATAAATATATTTATAGTCAAATAAGTAATAAATGACTCATTTATTTTCAACGATAATATATAAGATATATAGGTACCTTAGATAATCGACATGCACAGATTTTATACAAGCCCATCACAGAACGCAAGCGTATTTATAAAATTTAAAAAAAAAATAATATACAAAGTAAAAATTACATATTCGACGCGGGTCTTATGAGAATCACACCCTCACCCCGAATCTCTACATATTTTCTAATCTTTGATAAACGCCCACCAGCGAGGATAATTGAGTTTTGCCGTTGGCGTCGACGACGTTTGCCGTCGGGCCATTACCGTTGGGCGCGTAGGCCGACGCGGCGTGAAATTGTTGCTGCTCGACAACTGCTGTACCGGCGGCGGTGGCTGCGGCCGCTGGAGCTGCAGGAAAATTCATCGCTGGAGGCGGAGTATAGTAACAGATATACGATTCGCCCCAGCATTGATGAACACCTAGACCGTGGCTCGCTGGATTATTGGCGTTATTGAAGTATCCGGCCGCGGGCGATGTTCCGTCGACAGCGGCAGCGGCAACTGGCGCATGATGAATTTCTGATTGATGCAGATGCTGTTGCTGCTGCGGCTGCTGCTGCTGCTCCGTATGAAGCTGATGATGTCGATGATGAGGAGGGGGAGGAGGAGGATGATGATGATGATGATCCGGTGTGGAATAATCGTAGGACGTGGACTCGATGCCGAGGACCTTTTCCAGGCTCTTGATGTAATCGATCGCGTGGCGCAGCGACTCGATTTTCGAGAGCTTCTTGCCCCCGGGCTTGCTCGTCGGCAGCTTCTCGCGCAGCTTTTCGAAGGCCCGATTCATGTCACGCATGCGGGTTCGTTCGCGGTCGCAGGCCGATTTCTTGTAATCTGCGAACCAAACAAAAATCGATAAAAAACAAGATGCCGTGCGAGTGTATCTGTGGATAAATAAAAAAAAAAAAAAAACAAACAAAGAAAAACATAGGAAAGACGTGATCAGTGCGCGTCGCGGGGTTAACGATATATAGACATGCCGTCGTTCCGGTAACATTTTTTCGACAAAAGTTCGGCCCGTGCTAGCATCAAAATTTACTCGTTCAAATTAACAAGTGCAAAAGAACGTCGGCAAACGTAAAGCGTCGTCGCTATCCAAGAGAGAAGCGAGCAAAAAAAAAGAGAAAAAAAAATGGGCGTGCAGAGAAATTTCCTGTGGAACGGCGAGCCGGAGCAGAAAAAAGTCAAAGTCAAGAGAAGTCGGAAAGGTTAGTAGAGTCGTAAAGTTTGTCGCGCTATCAGCGTGATCGTTAAACGTGACGAGTGTCGTTGTCTCGTCTCTTTTTTCGTCGACGCCGACTGCAGGTACGCGACTGAACGAGCTGCAATACTTTCGCCAACCCATGCCTCACGCCCGCAAGCGAATGACGAGCATTCAAATAATCCCGACGGCGCAAAAGTCCTCGACCCTCATCGGGACCGGCAAGAGCAGCGGCGGCGGTGGGCATAAAGTCAGCAAGAGCCACTTCTCGGTCAATCACGATCAGCAGCAGCAGCAGCAGCATCATCCCTATCGTCATCCCCCGCTGAGGATCGACGTCAATCAGCCGAGCTTCGAGATGGCCGTGATCAACTACACGAACTCGTCGGACTCGCTGGGCTTCGGCGGCAGCAAGAAGGACCAGAACTCCCTGGCGCTGGTGCTCATGGAGACGCCCATCACGACCAGATGCGTCCAGACCGAGTCCAACGCGCCCGTCGTCAGGAAGTTCATCCTGTCGCCCGAGGAGGCCGTCAAGAGGGCCCTGGCCAACAGCGGCGTCACCGTGAGAGAGCCTCCCGAGCCGCCCTCGGGTTTCCCGACCAAGCTCGAGCCCTATGCGGACGAGGAGGAGGACTCGTCCTCGAGCCTTCCGGACGACCATCCTCTGGAGTCGATCTCGAGCTCGGAGCTTCGCAGCGGCGGCGCCGATCCACTGCTGCCGATCGCCTACGAACCCCTGGTGCCGGAGTGTAAACGTCCGCCTCCCCAGCCAGCGCAGTTCGAGCGCTCCTCGTCCTCGTCGTGGTGGCAGGGCAGCAACTACCTGCAGCGCTGCTGGGACAACTTCTGGGCCTTCCTCGGGCTCGGCCACGCGAAACGCGATCAGCCTCGTCTCGAGGCCACCGCCGCCACCATGAGCCATCGGGAGCGCAGCAACATCGAGCTGTGCCAGTGGCGAAGTCGAGTCCGCTACTCCAGCACGATATCTCAGGTCGCCTCGGCGGTGTCGTCGAGGCTCGGCGGCGGCATCGCGACCAGCAATCTGCGAGTGGCCTGCGTCGACAACGTGTTCCGGTCGCGCCGGCTCGAGTCGCCGAGTCGCGCCAGTCACAATTATTACGGCGGCGTGCCTCCCTACAGATTCTGGAGATATCGACCCTCGGCCAGTACCATGACGACTCTGGGTTGACGACTGTTTTGCCGAGCAATCATTTCTACCTCTCGTTGACACGAGCTTCGATGATAATAATTTAATGTAACAATAAAGTAATACAAGACTGAAAGTCAATGCGTGTCGACGTATTTCGCATCGGATTTCGATAATGACAGGCCATCAAGCTTCATCGCCGAATCTCCGAGGTAAGTTTGAAAAAAATCGTTGATACAAATGTACGGCCGTTTGCACAAACGGAGAGACGAATGCATGGATCGATGAGGTATCAGCTCTGCACGTGTGTATAGGCAAATACGCGTCGAAGACTTTCTTCTACTGGAAATGCGTCGATACGTCATTTCTGTAGCTGTTGCGGGGAAACGTATGCGCGTACGAATGCTGCATTATGTGTGTTCCAAAAGTTAAAATGAAAAAGAGAAAAATGCTACAAAGAAGTAGGAATAATTTTCATGAAAAATGCCTCGTTGCTTTGTTAGACGCGTTACGCATTTATCCGTTGCCGCTACTGTGTTACAAATACAAAAGCTTCGTACGATTTTCCGAGCGTTGAAATTATTAAAGAATTTTAGAAAGCTAAGCTGAATATTATAATATGAATGAGGGGCCACCTTTAAGTATGTGTTACCTATTAAGCAAACCTTTTTCCGACTGTGACAGTTCTCTTTGAGCTTTCACGTTGACTGGATCATGCAGTTGTTGCTGCTGCTGCTGCAAATTGACTATTTCGCCAATCGGTTCTGGCATTCGTATTACTAAATATTTATCAGCTATCGATTGTTGTTGCTGTTGTTGTGACTGTTGTAGTGGTGGTGGTTGCTGATAAAGCTGCTGCTGTTGCTCGTAAGGGTAATGCCATCGCTTGCGAGTATTGCGTCGTTTGCTGCTAGTGATATTAGGGTCGATTGGATCTGCGTTTACTTTTGTTCAAATAAAATTTTTTCGTGTGTTAGTACATTAGTAAAAGAGCGTGAACACATTTACCTGCGGCTGCGGTTTGCTGAATGCAGACATTGTGCAGATTTTGTACTGGGCCATTGTTGACCTCGTGTAGTCTGTGCTGATGCTGCTGCTGCTGCTGCTGCTGCTGTTGCTGCTGTTGCTGTTTTGAATTCTCGTCCAGATCCAATAACACCGGCGATTGTCGGTAGGGTCCTTCGTTGCTACTGTTGTTCTCTTGTTCGGACTGCGAATAAAAAAAAACGTCGAAAATCGGTGAAATTTTCCATAAAGACTCTCGCTGCCTTTTTTTTTTTGTTTCATTTTTTATTTCGGTCGGTGATGCTCGAAGCGCTGCTGCACACGTCCGCGCGCGAGTGCAACTTAAAATTCCGTACCACGTGTCCAATTAACGGCTCGACGTGGTTTTCGCAGTGGCGCAGGATTCGACGAGTTTACGTTGGTCGATTTCACTATTTGTACGTTTGGCCTGGCGTCAGCCTCGAGCGCGCGTAAACGTCATTGACGCGGTCGCATCGATGCAAACGACAATTAACAAAACTCACGCCATATGTTGATCTTATTAGACGAATACGTCATACGATTAAAACATTACGCAAAATTGCACCGATACACAGACGCGGCAACCAAAAGCCTAGAATCACAAATAAATACCATCTCCGCCCTACGCAACTATGGTTCATTATTTGTTTCGATTAATTTAACGTTACCTCGATTTTGGCAGCAAATCCGTTGTTCTGATGAGGTTTCATGCTCCGTATACGAATACTCGTGTATGCGCACAAAAAGGTAAAACTCGACTCTTCGTGCACCCGAACTTTCGGTTAATCCCACAATGCCGACAGAGAGTGTTTGTTATTATTGTCGTTATTTCTTTTTTTTTCGGCCGTCTTCGCTACACTCCTGCACGCATGTTTCGCGCGAGTCCGCGTGTGCGGACGCGAGTTATTTGAATCGAAGAAAAAAAAAAATTAAGACGTGTGGGCGTAGCGGCGCAGACCGATCAACTAGAAACTCGCGTAATATAGTGATATCGAAAAGGCGTAAAGTACGTGGATAACGCGTGCGTTGTGTGCAGCTCGTTGCTTCCCGCTGATGCCGATGTTTATTATAATTATTATTTTTTTTTTGTTCTTTTAAGTGTTCAGGTGTTCGAACAGCGGTTCTCAAGCTCTACAGCTAGTTTTTTACTCGGCGCGCCGCGAACGAAGATCTCATCATTATTCATTATTATATCGCGTATATGAGACAAGTACATATATCAGTCTCTTTCTTCTTCTTTTTTGTCGCCCAACTCCCCTACTCGGCGAGGCGAGGCTTTACATTGTGAATCGAATTATCATACGTTCAATGGAATACTCGTTTGTTGATATTGGCTCTCTTCTTCTTTCTATTCGTCTTTATCTCGGAGCCGTAACGATCGGGTAGAAGACAAAAGGAAGCGTCTCTCTCTCCTTCCTCTTGAATTTTCGTGTAATTTTTCCACTAGTAATTCGATAATGATTGTAAGATCGAGTTCATGCTTTTGATAGGGAAATTTAATCTTGGTTGCTTCGCTCGACATAGTCGCGGGCTCGACCCGGGAGGAGAAAATTCGCTCGCATTATATCGCGCGCGCAACAATTCGTCGAGCTCAACGAACAAAGAGGAGCTGTTTAAAAGCCGCGAAAAGTCTTTGTCCATTTTCATCGCTCATTCTCGACTCGCGTGCGTCGCGTCCCCCCCGATCATCGATCATCCGCGAGCACGCGGCGTGGTCTTTCATTTTTCAACTCTTTGCCGTTGCTCCTCCTCCACCTCGAACGGACACACACTTATTATACGCAGCAGCAGCAGCAGCAGCAGTTGTCGACGGGGCCGTGTCGGGAAATAAAAGTTGAAAAGCATATTTTTCCGCCACTGGTTACGAGTTTAGAGGCCAGCACAGCTCGGTGTACGGGGAGAGAAGGGGGGCTGCGGCAAGTTGGCGCGCGTGGGCTTGACGTTAGGCAAAGTTTGTCTAGGCTCTCTCCTCTCGCGGTCGGATTTTGCGAAAATTAATTAAGAGATAAGAGCCTAGCTGGAGCAAGCTTGGCAGCAGTAGCAGCTAGGAGCACACCGAGCACGAGGAGAGTAGGGGACAGTATAATTCGCGGGGTGCTATGTAGTCTCGGCCGAGAGCGCGTAACGAGCTGTTTGGTCTGAAAATAATGCTTTCGTATAATAATACGACGAGCGAGTTCGAGCGAGGTGGGACTGTGCTGCTGCTGCCTTATATAGGAACAAATATACGAGCGGACAATAGAGAGCAAGAGGTAGTTGCAGCAGCGGCGGCGGAGTGAGAGAGAGAGACGCACGAGCGAGCAGCTTGTTAAAAATACTAATGAGACTAGCTCTCTACCTGTGTGTGCACGTGCCATATATATACGTGTTGTTGTATTTGTGTGCATCTTGCGCGAGTGTCTGTGAACGAAGATGGTGTTGGATAATTTCCCTTGCTCTTTTGTCATTCGCGTTGCTCGTTGCATATATTGCACATGCAGTTCAGTTCAGTGCATACGTATACGTACATCTACCTGTGCAGTGTGCATATATAGTCCCCATACGCTACATATGCAGCGGCGCAGTTTGTGCTCGCTTTGTCGCCCATCTCGCTCGTCTTTCATTTTTATATACCTATATTTATGCAGCGTTACAACGAGTTATTAGCTATTTGTGTCGCGGCGCATATTTATACACAGAACAACGGCCACCCACACGTACATACACGTTACACCTATTATATATGGACACACTTGCCGACGGACGGGCTTTACTCGTTCGCGCAAAGCCTCTCGTTGTCGTTGATTTCCATTTTTTTCCTCTCTCTCTCTCTTCTTCGTTTTGTTTCGCGCTTGTGCGAGCGGCATGAGTAACCGTACACAACGCAACGATGAGAGCCCTGTATCTGCTTATTTGCATTTATGTAACTTTTTCAATTTACCAAAAGCTTCGGTCGTCTGTGTGTGAGTGTGTCTGTGTGTGTGTGTGTATTATAGTGCACAAAGCCACAAGAGCTTTGAACGAGAGAAATCTGTTTCATCCGGCCGACGCGACTTACTTTTCAACGCTGCCCCCGCACCGACTGCATACACTGCACGCCGCGCATACGTACACACCCTCGTATATATACATGTGTATGACACGCACTTTTTTAATGAAGTTCCATTGACGTCGTGTCTTTTTGTTCGCTCGCTGCAGGTATTAACAAAACCAGTACTACGTGTGTGCGCGCGCGCGCGGCGTGCTGGATTTACCAGAAAAAATGAAAAATAAAATCATGAAAGGATGAAGAGGTTTAAACTTTTTCATATTATATAGTCGCTGGAATGCATATGAAATGCACCGTACGCCGCCTGGATTGTAAATGCTCGCGTTAGCAGGATTGTACATTCAACGAGATATGAATAAAATAATAATACGATTTAATTTTGCTTATGCACTGTGGAGCTTACAAAAACCCCGATGCGACAACGAGCCCCGTCGAATGGAAAATTTCACGGACCAATTTAATAGTTTTGATCAATCAAGTACCCCCCCCCCCCCCNCCCCCCCCCCCCCCCGAAAATGAGGTACTTTATCAGAGTCGACTTAGGCACGCAATAGCTGTCGAAAAAGTTTTTCCGTGCGCGCGCGACTAGTTTTCGAATCTCGGCTCACTCGTTTTGCGCGCACCTCCTCTCTTGAGACAAACATAATCGATTGTATTGAATGGAAAATTAGCCTTGTTCCGACAAGTCGTCCTATTAAAACAAGGGTACTAACTCGACGAGTCCGGCTGCACTAGTCCAAGGCTCGGTAATGGCTCTTTAATTGGTCCAATAATTCTCTGCGATTCGGTTCTTTCCTTATGCTCTTGGTGCTACATATAACGCATTATATATATAACTCTGTCGGGGCCACACAAACTTTTCGTTTTCGTTCTTCGAATTGCAAAAGTCTTCCCACGAGTACACGCGCTTCGAGCGACGCTGTTCACATAATGACTCGGACGTACGGAGGGTGCCAAAAAAATCTACTCGCAAAGTCCTTTTTTTTTCTTTTTATTTGATCTCGTTATTTTTCGTAGAACGTAAAATTTGAATCGTAACCAGTAGTTGGTTGATTGGCGCTCGAAGCTCGAGCTTTTTTTCAGTTTTCGCATCACGATCATTTTCTCGAATCAATAGGAGTTAGATAGGATATATAGGTACGCGAAGAGTATAGAGAGTACAGAGCTGAAATTGCGTTAAAGCTTGACACTCGGATTAGCTTGCAGCGCTATATACATATCCATCGACGCGATGGGAGCAATATCGGAGTGAAGATTTCTCGAGTCTCCACTCGGCTTGTGTGCACGCGTGTATGTGCAGCGCAACGGCGTGTGTATATAGGTGTGTACATGGATTGGAGGACATATCCGAGTTAGCGCAAACGCTGCAAAATTCAAGTCAACGAGATTACATTCTCCTCAAGAGTCCACTCATTCGACGAGTCGAGTCAGTCGCGAGGCAAACTTCTCTCTCTTCTCCCGAAATTCTTGCTACAACTGACGCGCTTCCTTCCTTCCTTCCTTCCCTTCTCGTCGTGCTTATATTTCTCACCATCGCCCGTGCGAAATGTCAATCCAAAGTGTTGGCATACCTTTCGACTTTTGAAATGAAACTTCTTTAGACGGATTGGGATAAGAGCAGATGACTCGCAAAACCCGAGCGAACGCGATAATCGTAGATTTTGTACCTCGCATAAGCGCCAGTTGAAACATCTACATATGTATAGTGTTGTTACAGTGGCGATTTAGTGGCAACTTTAAGAATGAATTTTTTTATTATATATGTGTGTAAGTATCTATTTACTAGATGTTTTTTGTGGGAGCTCGATTTTGTCTGTTGGGATATTTAGTTTTAGATAGGCAAAAATTTCTTGAGGGAATTTTCGCAAAGATACAATTTGAAATTGTTTCAAATTTTGTACGAACAATGTATAAACGGATAAAACAGTATCTAAATTGTAAACCATATGATCTTGAACGATTTTGACATTGTCCCTCGACACACTGATTGTATTTATAGTGAAAATAAATTACTTTGAATGTTGTCTTGTTCGATGAAATAAGTCAAAATATCAAAAGATAAATTTTACTCAATTTCTGTGGTACTGAATAGAAAAATCCATCGTTTCATTTAGTCATTAAAATGGATAAAAGTGAGAAAAAGTCCGAGGAAATCGTTTCACAAGATAGCTCATGTGAACACGAGGCATTTACACTAGAATCAAGACACCGAGACACAATTCATAATGAAAAAAAGGTTTACGCATGTGACAAGTGCGAAAATAAATTTGAGTTCCGAAGTCATTTGAGCAGACATCAAATATCAGTACACAAAGGCTGCAAAGATTTTGCATGCAATAGATGTGAGAAGAAATTTGTGAATAAGTCGAGTTTGTTTACACATCAAAAATTGGTACACAAAAATCCTGAAGGTTTCATTTGCCAAAAGTGCGAGAAAAAATTTGAAAATAAATCAACTTTACTCAAGCACAATAAAATATTTCACGAAGTTTTTAAAGATTACTTATGTGAATTGTGTGCCAAGAGATTCGGAAATAAACAGAGTTTGCTCACGCACATAAAGACCGTCCACGAGAGTCACCAAAATTTCCCATGTGACGAGTGCGGAGTAAAATTTAGAAAAAAATCGTATATGCTCTTCCACCTGAAGACAGCACACGAAGGTCGCAAAGATTTCACATGTAACAATTGCGATCAGAAATTTGGACATCGAAGTTCTTTGATTAAACACCAAAAGATAGTCCACGAAGGTCGTAAAGATTACGCATGCAACAATTATGAGAAAAAATTCGGGGAAGCGGGAAATTTAAGAAAACACAAAAAAACAATACTCGAAAGTCGCAAAGATTACGCATGCAACAAGTGCGAAAAGGTATTTGA